CCACATGAGAAATGCCTTCACAGTATTTGCATAGGAGCACCAAGTAATACAAATGATGTCAGGATTGACCAAGACACTGAAAACTGGTTTTAAATGTAATGCTACCAAATAGCTCCCCTGCAACTGTAGCCATTTAAAAATACTATAAACATCCTCCCCAACTATGAAATGTGTACCTAAAGAATTATACAGAATTTGGGATGAATGCTTCCTACATTCCGACAGTGTCCCGTGATATATGAAACTCCAGACTTGTCAACACTAGCCTTTGGTTTAGTTATTCAAATATTTAGCACTTAGACATGCAAGATACCAGCAGAAATGTTTTTAGTATGTCAGAAAATCCAGCTGTTTCAGAGTAACACAATATATTGCCTGAACAACACCCATAAGAACAAACCTAGGCTCCATTCGCTGGGGAATATTTCATGAAGTTCTGGGTCTGTATCCTATTTTCTAGGACCTGATGGTCTAAGGCAATTCATCAGTATATGCTAACTACAGCTTTGGACAGCCATCCACCTTAGTTTGCAAAGAGCAGAAAGCCCACATCCGTGGAGACAGAACTTCCTCAAAGCTGGTCTTCCCCTGGGGAATGAACTCCCTCGGAACTACCATCCATTCAAGATCTCATAATCTCACCACTTCCCGTTCTCAGTAAAAGGTGGGGTTTTTTTCTGCCCATGACTTCTCCGAGTATTCAGAACCATGTGCATATTAAATAAAATAATTCCAGACCAAGAGGAATTCCCGCAGATGAGACTTTTGGGCCCCCTTCTGAAACAGGGTAGACTGTGCGAGAGGAGTGAATTACGGTCCTCCATGCACTTCGGAAGGGCACCTTCGATCCTACAGAGGTCAGAAGGAGGCAGGTACAAAATGAAGTACATGAGCAGAAACCGAGAGTTACATATACCCAGCGAACACAGTTTCTACTTTTTCACATTCTTTCACTTTCTATTCCGACGATCATCTTTCACATATATACTGCAATTATTTAAAAACCCAGAATATTGTTATCAGCGTGATTTCTCCCTGGAACACGGTAACACTCTGGACTCAGCTCCCCACCAGCCTGTCACCACCTCTTTGCGTAGCCGCAGCGGAGTCAGCAGCTCGGGCTCGCAGCCCCCCGCCCCCCGCACACCCCCAGCGGCACCGCGATGCCCGCGCAGCATCCCCGCATCGCCAGCCGCTCCCGCTCCCGCTCCCCCTCCCGCCCGGGGCCGCTCCCGCCCGAAGTTCCGCCCTGCCCGGAGGAGGGCTGTTTCCGACAGGCCTCCGCGGGTCGCCGCACCTGACACCGGGGCAGGCACGGCTCCAGGGACGCCGGCCGGGGCGGCGCGGCGGAGGAAGCTGCTACCGGCCCCGGCTCCCACCGCCTCCCGGCTCCGGAAGGGCTACCAGCCCCTTTCGCCCTCTTCCCGCAGGGACCGCTGGCGCAGAGCAGCGGGATGGAGACGGGAGGCGGCGGCAGACGGCGGATCGGCAGCTCCGCGCTCCCCGCACCGGGAAGGGCGACGGCCGCTTACCGGGTCTGGCATCCGCGCGGAAAAAGCGGGGGGCGCGGGGAGGCAGGAGCGGCGGGGCGGCCTGGGCCTCCTCCTCCTCCTCCTCCTCCTCCTCCTTCTCCGTCTGCTCCGCCGGCCTCGCCCCGCCGGGACGCGGAGCCCTGGGCGCCGTGCGCGGCAGGTGCGGGCGGCGCGGAGCCGAGCCTTGCGCCGCCGCAGCCGCCCGGGTTACGGTGCGGGGCGAAGGGAGGAGCCTGCGCCGCGCCGGGCGAGCGGCGTGGCCGCGTCCCGCTCTGCGCCTCGGGGTCCGGCCGCCGCTGCAGCCCCGCGGGGGCGAGAGGGAGCGGCGGCCAGCGCTGGAGGGCGCGGCGGGCTCGGGCACAGGGGCCCGCGGGTGCGGAGTGGTGGCCCCTGCTCACATGGCGTGTCCCCCCCCTTCCCCCGCAGTTCCTGCCGTCCCGGGTCGGCCCGGCCGTGCCTGTGTGCCGGAGGGCATGCACGCCTCACCTGGGCTCTCCTGAGCTTTGCAGCGGACTAACTGATAGGAAACACTGTTAGCAGCGTTGCTGAGGAGGCCGTCTGAGGACAAGGAGGAAGAGGAGGAAGGTTAAAATGAAGGTGTAGTGGTCGATGTAGGGCTGTGGTACAATGGGAAGAGGGATGCTGGACAGGACGAACTTCCTCCCCTAAGGCAAAGTAGGTAGGAGGGGGTCATCGCCTGGGTTTCTGAGGAAGTCAGGCAGTGCTGTGGGCTGGCCTAGATCTCTCATGAGAATGTCCTGCCAGCACAGCAGTTACTCATGCCGTGGTAAGTTTGGATAACCTGCTTGATGTCTTTGTGTTGAACTTGCTCAGCAGATACTGATCATACTGATCTCTTTCCTGGAGCCCAAACCTGGACATGGAAGTCTAGATGTGGTCTAAGATACCTGTATTTGGCTCATCGTACACCCCTAAACATGGTAAGACCATTTCCCTTTTAGTCCTTTCACGTGTGCAAGGCTGTTCTGGCTGCTGGGCATCCCACTTTGAAATACCACTTGGTGCTGATGGCTGTAGAGTGCGGCAACAGGTCTCGGTCCTGCTTTAAGAACAGGAGGGACTGATCTGGGCAAGCATCAAAAATCCCGTGTATTTGAAGACTTACCTTATTATCTTGGATTTGGCTGAATGTATTAGGAAATAGAGGCTCCACAAAAGGGTTTCAGTGGGGTGGTTGTGTTAATCCCATCCTGAAGCAGACATGGAAGGGGCACTTACAGTGCTGCGAGGATTTTGTCGGGGTAGCTAACAGTTTTCCAAAGTGAAGCATAAAAAGTGGGTATTCCTCTTGTTCAGACAGGAGATTGCATTTCTGACGGATGGCAATAAGAAGATAAAGTTTGGCTGTAGGAAACTTTGGTAAGTGCAGAGCCTATCTAACAAGTATTTGGAAATTGTCTTCTGTTTAAAAAAACTGGCAATCCTTTATAAAACTCAGTTAGGTCAGAGGTGATAAAACTCAGTTAGGTTAGGCTGGTTAAGATGTTCATTATTGAAAACACTGCACATTGTGTTTTTTCCCAAGCAGTGTTGGTCACTGACCTGAATGCTTCCCTGTAACCTCCTGCAGGGTGTGTCTGTGGCTGGTTCAGGTACAGCACAGGAAGATACTCTAGAAAAGTTTGAACTTGATGTCCTGGAGCGGCCCTCGGTGGCTGTTTCCAGGCTGAGTAAGCCTAATTTCAGACCTGTGTCCACACAACCAGATTTTGAGGCACTGCTAGATCCACCTTCGTTCACCTCCCTAAAAAGGCAGTCCCCAGTGTCAGCCCACTACTTTCTACAGTTGGGCAGAGCTATGTGCTCTGGTTCATGAGGAATCTGAGTTCCAGCTCACAGTTAGCCCTGATTCTGCAGCAGGAAAAAGGCACAACTGTTCCGGGTAGAAGGAGTTTGCTGTTGCCATTCTCCTTCTTCCCCTCCCATCGTACGTTTTGTGCATCACATTGTCAGGTTCATCCTGTGCATGTTGTCTGAATGTTGAATGGTGCTGCAGATGTGTGAATGGGAGCAGAGGTGAAGGACCTTGCTGCCAGACACTTCAAAGAGGCACCGTCTTCCTTTTTGGCAAGCTGTAATTCTAGATCCTACTTGCCTTGTCTTCAGACCAGAGCTCTTGTCTGAATTAGGTGCAGTGTTTGTTGTGCCTGTGCCATATCTGCCCTGCTACATTATGGGCGTGGGCAAGGCCTATTGTGAGTTCTCTAGGGTGGTCAGAACACTGGGATTTATAAATAATGTGGTGTAGCCAAGAGTTGCCACTCTGTGTCTTGGACTGCAAACCTCTCCGGAAGTTGAGAACTCAGCTCCCACTGGTACCACAGGTTGCTAGAGAAGGTGTGTCATTTGCACGTGTTTGCATGAAGATATCCTTTGCATGTGTTTTCTATATTGCACGAGACAAACATGTTTTGTTTATATATTGATGTCTATCTCCTGGATTACAAATGGGTTTCATTTTCCACAAGTCTTGATTGAGGAATCTGGGCTTATGTCTCCACCCAGAAACACCCACAGTGCCTGAGCTACCCTGTATTGCCCTGTAAGGATGAGCCCTTAGATGTGATCTTTCACCTCCTGGACTAGTCTTGTAGGTGAGCAAGTGGGAGACACTGACATAGTGAACTGAGAACCTAGAGAAACTTTAAACAACTTCTTTACTGATAGTGGCAGGAATATTTATTGAGATGGATGATGTTGTCTTCTGTGTGCAGGTTGCTGCTATGCCTCCATCTTCTCAATCCTCAGTTGGCAGGTTATGAGCATAAAGACAGTTGTTCTCTTTGCAATAAGGGGGTTAACAAGTCATTAGTTAGTGTGAGGGTAAGCGAGTATCTGTATCTGTCCAACGATCAATTGATTTCTCTCTGACATACGTTTTCTGGTGTTGGATTTCTCTGCATTTAGGCCATAATAGCCAACTTCCCTCTGCTTAGATACCAAGGTAGTCTTACAAGTGAAGATCTTTTGGGTCTGGCTTTCTGCTGTTGGTAATGTGAGGAGAGGAAACAGGTGAAACACTCTATCAAGATGAGAGATTATTTAATTTAAATGCAGATCAGTAATACTTCAACAGAGAAATTATCTCCCATTTTGAGTTTTCATGGGATAACACCTTTGTCTCAAGTGAAATAAGTGGTACTGATCTACAAGGAAACAGAAAATTAAATCTTCGTTTTAACAAAATCACTCGTATAAAAGCTGGAATCTTCCAAAATAAGTGATCCCTGAAGTGTTCTGTCTAATATGTTTGTATTTTCACTGGTCATCCCCATGTACCTCAACTGCTTCAGAAAGACTCCAGTCACCAAAATAGCAATGTAAAAAAATTGCAAAACAATTGACAGTGGCTTGTAAACCTCTCCACCTATCCCTATACCAATATTCTACTGCTAAACAGAAGTATCTGGGATTTCTACTGCATGAATTAATTGCTTTTGTAATGCTTTAAGGGTGTTTTTTTAGTAGTTCAATGATTTTCATATACATTTTCTCAGCTGCATCAAGGCCCCAGAGGAAATCAAGATGTCCCCATGCAGGAAAATGCTCATGGTAAATGAGATTAGTAATCCGAGGGAGTAGCCTTGCCATGTCTTTTGGATCTGCAAGTGTGTCCTCCCCTCCGCTCCAAACAGCAGTTGGTATAGTTATCTTCTCTATCTTGTACGCAGGAGGAGCAGTCTGTAAGAAAGGGAGAAGGCTGAGTAAATGCCGTTGTATCAGAAGTTATGTTTAGAGAAGGATTCTGTGCAACCATCTCTCTTTCTCTTTCCCTTCTGCACTGCCTACAGTAAAACCATAGGGATGAAGGCCACCCTCTTATTGTTCATTGCCCTAACCCAATTCCCTGACTTGCCTATCCTCACAGAAGAAACCAAAGAAATACAGAAGAGTAAAATGGAGATCATCTGAGATTTGTCTACATTGTGGTAAGGGACTATTCACAAGATGTTTTTAAATTGACTCCTTTTATCAAAGGGTCGTACTGCTATTTTTCTTCTTGACTGCATTTTGGGCAGTTTCCTAACTGTTCACAGTACTGGGAATAAAACATTGCTCGTTCCAAAATTCAAACTTCAGGTATTTGAAGACCACGTGTGTGAATGAAAGTGTTTGAGAAATCTTTGAAATCTTCCTCCACCTTTAAAATAATGTGCCACCCATAAAATAACCTGCCCTGACTCACAAAGCTCACTACAAGTTGGCTGGTCTGATCAAATCTCAAAAAATAATCAGGCAAGTGTTTTCAAGAGGAGCACAGCATTTCCGAGTGTTGACTAGGCAGTAACTAAATCTCGTAGTGATCAAGTTTTGCCTGTTTCCTTTCTTCCACACAGGATACTTCACCACAGCAGTAGTCTCCACTGTGCTGTACTGAATGCCTTTGCAGTAAGTAGCTTCTGAAAACCAAGGTATGTGTTTCCACTTTTTTTTTTTCTCTCCAGTTTAATGTTTAACTGGAAGGCAGACCTTGAGGATTTCTGGAGAAGTGAAGAGCTCTGCACTCATCCAGTCCTAGGACTTGGGTGCAGCTCTGAAGCCTTTGGGAATGGCAGGTAAGTTGACATGTCACTGGACACATCCCTGAGTCAGTGGGGGAGGTAAAATGAACTGTTAGCTGTCTGCAAAGATCTGTCTATACAATGACTGTGAATAAACTTTACAATTATGAGTATTAGATTCTGGTGAAACATTACCTGAGACTACTCTCCCCCTCTTTCTGTGCACTTTAGGGGCTAAAATATGATTTTTTCTATTCTTAGTTTTGCCAGGACCCAAGCATGAGTTCTCAGAGAAATGTATTGCCTTACCTGGTTGTATTTCTTCATGTTTTCCTTAGAGCCATAGTCGTAAGCTTGAAATTGGTCTGCACGTATTAGCTGTTAATATTGTAACATGGACAGATAAAAGGTGAGTGTTAAGAGACAGGGCAGAGAGCAGAAGTTATTTTCTTGCACGTGAGTGAAGTCGAGTCTTGAGCAGTACACAGGATTCCAGGTATACTGAGGATGGATCATAGCATGTTTTCAAAGCCTTTCCCCATGCTAACATACTCTCCTGATCCTCAGCCACCACTCTTGGTATGTTTAGTTATTAAAATCCTGCTTCAATTATCTTAGTTGGCTCTTTAGTTAGCTAAATTAGCTCTTTGTGAGGCAGCAGTGTGTCAGGGCTGTTACTTGCATGTGTTGCCTCCTCACACACCTCAGCTTTTGTGTATCAGTTTTGTCTGGTTTGCTCAGAGTAGTGAGGACAATTCCAGAGGCTCTGTACTGCTTACAAGAGTTTGGCTATGGGGGGCAGGGTGTAATTAGCTTAACACTAAGCTGTTGTCTTCTTGAATGTGATTTTTCTAAATGAAAATAAAAATAATAAAAGATGGATCTATCTTACTGATAATGTGTGTGCATTTTTTTTTTTATCCATACCTTTAAGTAACTAAGGATATGATAGAAATCTGCTAGCTCGTCTCTGTTTTCTGGCTCTGAGTGCTGGTGGTTTGGATTCTAGGAATTTTAGGCAGGGGGGTGTGCAGCAGCATGCATATATTTAAATGCTGGCTGAAGTGGCACAGCTGTGTGCACATACAGTGATGTGTTTCTGAGCCAGTGCTCTCTTGCCCTGATCTGGTTTGGAGCATAAACAGAACAAGCTTAAGTCTGAAAGTGGCATGAGATCCAGCAGAAGAGGCAGTTCCCCTCTTTGCCATTGTGCCAGCAGAAGGGTTTGTGCAGTTAACTGGCTCTGGGAGGTGGTCCAGGCTGCAGTTAACCTTCTGGGAGACAAGCTTTAGCCTAGGTGACTTCCTTGTGATCATCCCCTGGCTGCTAAAGCTTTCACTGTACTCCTGCTTCCTGCCAAGTGCCTGGACCACACTCGAATTCACTTCTGCAGCTTTCAAGGCAAATGTCTTTATAAATAAGAATGAAGGCTGGATGCCATTAGAGCTCAACATGGAGAGGCATGACGTGCCCTGGGAAAATCTGAGCCTGGTACCAAAGGGGCAATTCAGGGAATGGTCTGTTGAGCCATGGGAAACAGTGCTCCTCTGTGACAGGTGTTCACAGCAGCAGGTGAGAAGGTGTGATGGGCAGATTCCCAGATCCATCACTTCTGGACTTCCCTGTAGGCTGTCAGTTGCATAAAAAGCACTAGTAAGAGACTGCTTGTATGTCAGTTCACAGTTATACCTGATGCCAATGAATAATGTTCTGTACTGATGTTCCAGCCGGGTAATGTCCTATAAATATATCTGTTCGACTCTGGAGAGAAAGCAAAAGCATTATAAAGGCAGAGATCCAGTGCTGTGACAGAATAAAGCTGTGAAGGCTCCAAGCAACATACCGTTGCTGTGTTGAAATCCCATTTTAATAGAATATTCTTCAAATATGTAAAAGGAAGTTGAAGAGAGACTCACAAATATGCGAGTTTACAGCAGGAATGATTACATATTATTTTATACCTCTGGGAAGAGTCTTTTCAACATTAGTCCTTAGTCATATGGAAAATATCATTTGGGGAGTGTGTATGGCCTTTGTTTTTCCCAGTTTCTACAGTTCATATGATGCTTGTGCATAATCAGTAGAGGAGTATAATGAGGCTACATGTGTGAGAGCTTTTTATGCGAACACTTATTAAATAGTCTGCCCATGAGAGAGAGAAGGTCCCTGGAGAACAGACATGTCTAAGGTTGTAAGAAAAACAGGTGGCAGCCAGAGTAAAGGAATGCAATCTTGCTTTTGGAAGAAGTGTGAAGAAACAGCTTTGAGTTTTGACTGGAAATGTTTTGATGTGTAACAAGTGAAAAGAAACCATCCCTTATGTTCAGATGATCCAGATATCTTCCTGTTTAGGAAGGAAAATATATGAACTGTGGAAAAGAGAAAAAGGTCTTTCTTCATCCAGTTGTCCATTTTAAAAACCTTTGGTGCCTGTCCAACATTTCTTTGGCTTATCTCCAGAAGAGGGGACTCCCTCAACACATGTCCTTGCAACTGTATGTAGACAACAGGCAAAAGAACTCTTTTTCCTACAAAACTACTTTAGATTTACTTGTATTAAGCTTTTCTTGGACATGCTTACCGTGTTCAGATTTTGTATCCTGCCCCCAGTTAAGAGACACAAGATACTGCCACAAACTTTACCCAGAGATCCGCAGAAGCATGTTAGAGGTCCTTTTGTCAGTTCATTCTGGTGAAAAGCTCCGTTGCAGCCAAGAAACAACTGAGGGAGGAAAAGTGCAGAAGTTTTTTTGTTGTTGCAGGATGATTTAATGCAGAAAACTGTCACTCCCTCTTCCTTAATAGCCTTGCCTCTTAACTAGAGGCAAGACTGCTGAAACTGCTTGCCATCCCACTATCATTTATAGTGAGTTCTTCCCAAGGGCATACCACATGTTCTTCCTGCTTCATATCAGTTATGAGTCCTGGAGGTCACTATCCATCTGGTTTTAGTGTACCGTTCTCAGTGAGAAAGGTAGTTGGCTGCACTGATGACTGCAGAATACAGGAAGTGCCTTTTTGCCCTAATATTTCTTCCAGGCAAGTGCAGAAACTGTACTGTGAGTGTTCCTACTAAGGAAGGAGGGATCAGACAAATGAGAAGGGTGTAGAGTTGGATGCTCTATAGTCACATCATGGGTGCAGCTTGGACGGAAAGAGGATGTGCTCCTGTGGTTTGACATAAAGTACAGCATGCATGATTTTCACCATTCCGAGCAAATTCTATGAAATTGACACATTCTAGTGTGAAATAGATATTTCCCTTTATGTTTTGTTTATCACTTTACAAGTAAATATTTCACAAACATAAATGAAATGCATGTCTAATAAAATTAAGATGTGAAATATCTTATTTGCAGTTTTTTGTTAGTGCTTAAGGCTAGATTTAGTAAACTATATTAGATTTGTTTCAGTCTGGTATTTGCGAGTTTTCTTCAGAAAGATCTGACTTAAATAAATAATGATGAAAGTATGCCTGTTACCTTAAAGATGCTGCAAAAGAGATACTGCATCCAGCCTTGCTGCTTAGCTTTGTGGGAAATCTGAAGTCTACAAGCACTGTCAGCAGTCTGATACACTGAATTCACTTCTAACTCATCACCCCTTAAAAGTTCAGGTTGAATGAGTCCAGCAGAGACAAAGCAGATAATATTATGTCTTCTAGAAAGAGAAATTACATACCCTGGTCAATGATGGGGGAAGACGTGCAAATGCTACCATAGGACTGGTAGCATGTGTGATTGTGGCTACTGGTCCCAAAGCAAAGAATACTTTAATCTTCTGAGACAACTCAGGATAAGTAGAAAATGCTATGAAGCCTGCAAGCACAGAAGGAGAGTCAAGGTAATGAAGAGATCTCCACAGACCAAATAAATGAAAAAGCAGTAGGCAGCAAAGAAGGGAAACTAGATTAGCATTCAATTGGCTGTTCATTTCTGTCCTGCAAACCTAAGGAGAATGTTTGATTCTTGCTTGAAACTTTTATTTGGAAGACAGAGTTAATTCTAAGGATATAAGTTCATTAGAGCATGTCCAGTTACCAATTTTCACAGAACTGACGGTTTTGCGTTAAGGCTATTTTTGGGGGAGAAGGTCCATTAATCAGATTTTTTAAATTCAAATTCTCTTTAAACTTCCCTAAACTCTAATAAAATAATTAGTTCCTTGGCTTGCTGTCTCTAAAAGCCTGTATATGTTTATGCTGGCATGCAGCAATGCGATAATTATCTGAAGATTAGGAATAAAATTTTTACTTGTTACTAAGCACATACTTGTGTGAGAGTGAACGCACAAATAAAGGAAGAGTTTAAATAAGGAAGGAAGGAATGAAAACCAAAAAGGGTTCATTCCATCCTGTTTTCTGAACATGTCTAAATTTCTCCACTGATGGACTATGTTAGAATTTTGACCAGTTGACATAAGTATCTCAAGACAAAGAAGGTGGTGACTTGGTCTGAATTATTCATTCTGTGAAAAGACTCTTAGAATGCACATAAGTAAAGAAAGGAGAATAATTGTCTAAGAATGTAGTGATATGGTGCTTCCCCCCATTTTCCCCTCGGTTTCTGAGTTTATTTTTTTATAAGGACAATGGTACACCGTGGAATAAATCCCAGTGTCTGCTCACATATCTGAAATATAAATCATAAACACTAACAACTGTTTTGTACCCAGACAATCCTAACATTACCTGCGGTTGAGCCTTCAGAGTGACCAACATAATAGACATCCTTCTGTCCAGTTTTATTCATGATGAAGTACAGCTCTGCTGGAATATCATATTTTCCTATCTCATCGAAGCTAAAGGGAGAAAAATAAAAAGCTTGCAGATAATTCAGCCATCACAGTGTGAGTAACTGAATGTCAGTTTTGTTCATTGCACCAAGCAGGACCCATTGAAGGATGAGGCTGCAGGCTGTGTCTGCTTGATTTGGGGAAATGGGCAGAGGGATGCAGCTGCCCAGCCAGGCTGCCTGATGCCTTGGTCTCTCTGTGGAGGAGGTGCCAGTTTTGCCTGACAGCTGCAGCCCTTTGGGGAACTGAATTTAATCAATGCTTTCACCAGCAGGGGTTACAAGAATTATTTTTCTCCCAGGTAACATTATCTGTGGTAGATCAGATTTCTCAACAGAGCTGATCAGTCTTCTTTCTGCACTTGGGACACGGTAATGGTGGGAGACTTCAAGGTTACAGATGCCTCCCAGTTTTGGAAGCCTGTTCCCAAAAAAACCAGCATGGCGTATGGGCAGAGGTGATCTGTGTACTTCCAGCTTTGTCTCTGTATGTGCTGATTCCAAAAGAGCCCATCCAGATCATGTAGTCCTTCTTATGACTCCCCTGACATACCCAGAATTGGCTGCATCTGTGGAAAAGAGTCGGTCTAGTCTTCTTAGATGTTGCATCTGACTTCCCACTTGGAAGTCAGATTATATGAAAAACAGTAGTGTTTTTGTATAATTCAGAAGGTATTTTTTTTATAACCAGAAGGGGAAAGGTTCTGCATTTTGCTAGTAACCACCTAATCTTGCTAGTTCCCTGAATGTTGCTTCAGTAATTCTTTTTCCATGGAGTACCTGTACTGCCAGAACTCTTTCTGGCAGGGCTTAAGGGTCTTGTGTTTTAAAGACCAGGTGTCTCCTCGGCTGTTTCCCATCCAGACATCATAGCCAGCGTCTGCAAGAATGAAGCCTAGGCTGTTCACAGGCTCGTTAGAAATCCAGTGAATAGAATCTGCTAGAACACCATGGTGTAGCAAGATGGCAGGCTTTTTCCCTGAAACAGAAGAGGTTTTCTTAGGATGTAGCTGATGTGTAGTTAAAACTGGGGTGCAGAATCTGGTTTTGAAGGAGTTTTTTAGCCCATGTACAGAATTCAGGCCACATTCTAGGCTGAATTACTAGGTGCCTTTGCTGAGATGGAAAGGTATGGAACATGCCATTGCATGTGCAAAGGGGAAAGATGGGGAACCCATGTAAGAGTTGTCTCTCAGACCTTCCTTACATCCCACAACTGTCATACCTGTATTTTGGCTATTCCTTCCAGAGGGAATTCTGAAAACACCAAGAATGTATCCATCCTCTGTTGTAACTTCATATTCCTCGCTGGGGTATCCATGATACCTGATAATTTCACTCTGTGGAGAGCCAAAGGACAGTTTATTAAGATGTATTTACAGTGTAGATATTGGTGTAGAAGGTGTTTAGAGGCTGCTTCTGTCCAGGAACATGAACTTGGCCAAGAATATGCCAGGAATGTAAATGTGATAACATATTGCTAGCTTTTCTCTACTGTTGTGGGTTATACTGGTAGGAAGGTACACCAAAAGGGATTCCTGTAGGAAAAAAAAAAACAAACCCCACTTCTCTCTCTTTCACGGGTGATCCAATATTATATGCCATGTCTTAGCCATTGAGTCTGGAGGATGCAAATGGCAGTGAGAGTAGTTGGGATGTGTTTCTGTGATGTGGTTTGTGTACACTACTTCGTGCTATATGACTCAAATTGTGTTAATTGCTGTAGCACTGGTACTCAAGCACTACACAGACTTACAAGAGTGGCAGAATGCAGCAAAGTCTTCTTCAGACTTGCTTAGATGGTAATTGTCTGGTATTTGACCCCCTGTTATGGGACAAAGCAGAACTGTACTGAGTGACTAACCTTTTGGGAGATATTTTGTCATTTTTTGCAAGGCTGATACAGGTTGTATCTTTCTAGAGAGTAAACATGCATCAGTATCTCTATCTGGTCCATAATGAATCATTTCTTGCCAAAGTGTGGTTAGGCAAGCCATGTAGGGTGGATCTCCGATTACAGACTCACTCACAGCACCACCTATTACACTTGCTACAGTGAGGAAATCTTTGGTGATTCATAGCAAAGGGGTCTTGGGGTTTTTGTTGTGAGAGTTTGCTGTTTGAAGAAGGGTTTCAAGCTGCCTTGTTATAGAAGAGTAGGCCTTTGCTTCACTTGAGACTAGAAACCAGCCTTTGCTTCCACTCTAAAGGAATTCTTCTCTCTGGCTCAGACTGTTTGGAAAGGAGCATCAAAGTTTCTTCCAGGCAAGTGCTCACAATGCTGGAGGTACCCTTTTGAAGGGAACCTACTTTTAGCATTGTGACAGGAACTGTTAGTGTTATGGTACTGGGAGAAAAGCTTTAGAAAGAAAGCGAGAGAAGGTGACCCAACTTACAACATTCATAAAGCATTCTGGGTTGCGAGTTTTCTTGCATGAGCTTGTGTCTGCACTCAGAGTGCAGGGTGCTGTGATTCCTGCTGAAAAGGCAATTCCTTGGGAGCAGAGCAGAAAGAGGAGGCACCACATCTTGGGGCTGTGTGAAAGAAAAAATGCAGGGGTGTTTGTCTTAAGAAGGGAGTGATGTGGAATTCCACAGGAAGACCTATAGGGGGGAGTCTCCATAAGGTTTCTCAAGGCCTGTTCCCCATGGTGTTGCCAGAGTAAGTACTTGGGTGAGGAAGGACTGTCTACAGCTCACTCTGTTTAATATGGCTCAGGAATGAGTCAAAAGCTCCAGGATGATATGGAACCAAACTGGGGGCATGTGTTTGTATGACATCAATACTAGTTTGCGCTGAGTATCTTCCTTTCTCTCTCCACATGATCTTCCCTATTGTAAATCTGTCTTTCCTGTACAAAAGGCTGAATTTTCATGAATTTTAAGGGGTCTGGTGATCACAGTGTAGCTTGTCTGAATAGAAACTGTAGAGTGCTCTCTATCCATTTAAACCCCTGCTTCTTGGCTGTAGCCACCTTTGTAATCAGCATGGAGGAAAGAGGTCATAAAACCTGTCTTGGGGAAAATCTTTAAGATTTGGAAAGTGTGGAAAGGATAGGCAAAATGTTTGTTTTCTCTGAACTTCTTCATGAGGGAGGGACTTCTCAATTATTTTCATTTTTTATTAAATCTATCATATCCCTTGAGTCACTAGAATGTTTGGATTAAACTACGACTTGGATATACCCTTAATATTGACATCCAAACTCACTGTAGTCCACTTTGTAGGAGAATACTCCAATTCTTCTGTCAATAGAATAGAAATCCTTCTACCTGTGTGCTCTGGAAGCTCAGTTTTGTAGTAGATGTTCCACTGCTTTTTGCAGTTTTGTTCAGTTCAAATAAAAGCAAAACACATTCCTCTATGTGGAGAATTGTTTAGGAACAAAACTGGAAAGTTCAGCATAGGTCACAGTTTGATTTTGAACTTAAAGTGAGGCAGTGGGATAGCTAAATTGTTACCATTTTTAGGGTATGTTTTCCCTATATATTGTGGTCACCTGATTTAGCTGGCATGTTCATAGAATCATAGAATTAACTGGGTTGGAAGAGACCTCCGAGATCTTTAAGTCCAACCCTTGATCCAACCCCACTATGATTACTAGATCATGGCACTCAGTGCCACATCCAGCCTCATCTTAAAAACCTCCAGGGTTGGTGAATCCACCATATTTTAAGGCTTTATTCTGAATGTTTTCTAAGTTAGATATAATGCACCAATTAACTGTAAGGCTTGGCACACATTGTCTCTTTAATTTCAATGGCCAAGTCTTGACTGTTGGAGCCCGGAACAGTAATCTAGTCTTTTTATGCAATGAAACAGTGCCAAAGAGTGGCATTTACCATGGCAAACTGGAATTAACTGAAATATTAAAAATTAAAAAAAAAGTAGAGGAAGGTATCTGAAAGATACATTGAAAATGCCATTTCTGGAGACTTTTGATATTTAACGAAAACAAACCTTCTAGAAATTCATCAGAGTACTCTTGAGAGAGTCATTATGGCTTTGTTTCACATATACTGTACACAGGACAGAAAGGCACCAGGTCATTTAATGTGCTTAACAGATGTCAGAATCCCAACTTTAACATAAAAGGACAAATTAAATGGATTTGGAGCTATAAGTACAAAATGTTCATTTTATGCCCATGTTTTCAATTCTGAGATTTTCATGCATCCACAGTGATATCCAAAGGAGGAAAAAAAACAACTAGAAAAAAATTAAATTATCAGTTACTCTTTTTTCCATTTGCATGGATCCTTTAGCAAACATGCACTTTGATGCATAACATCAGGCTTGCAGCTCAGAAAGGATGCAGGCTGTCTGCTCTGACAAGCAACTGCACAAAATCAAAACAGCACATCTTTATGGAGACAAGCAACAGAGAAAGGGACCATGGGCACATATGTACAAGCAACTTACCTCTGCTTGGACTCCCTTGTTGCACCTTCTGCTGCAGTTCCTCCACTAGCAGTCGGTCTCCACTAGCAGACTGATTCACTGCCAGAAACCTGTGCCAATAAAAGGAGTAGCAGCAGAGTGCTGCATGGTATCTGAATGTATAGGAGAGCATGTTAAAATGCTACTTGTTTGGCAATTTTTAAGGAGTGGAGTTATTTTATGATAAATAGCACCTTTGCATGACATTCTGAAAGACCAAATTGCACCATGGAGCAGGTGAGGTAAAGAGGCATCTAACCTGTCATTAGAATACTTAGCAGGGACTAGGTTATTCTTGTTCCCTGAGGCTGTGACAGATTTTTATTCCTACTGCCACTTGTCTCAGAGGATGCTGTGACCACTTTATTTTTGGATGAAGAGGAAGAAGAATCCAGCCTTTCTCAACACTTTCTACCTAGGAATGTGATCTCAGCTGCTATGGATAGTACAGAAGCTGATGTGACCACTGGTTCCACACCTGTTGCTTGTTTCCTGAACTGCTGTTTGCAGATTGCTCAGGGACAATTCTTTGTTAGGTAATCTTAGAATAAAAATACAAGTGATTTGAAAGGTGTGTATTTAGCATCACACACACATTCCTACATCTGTTGTTCAGTGGGCACCACAACACACAATGACCAGTTTGCTCTGAATTAGCCTGGTTCTGTAGGGATTCACAGGTGTTGAATTCAATGAAAACATTGTGTAAACTTTGAGTCAAGATACTCTTATTATTTCTAAGCCATTTCCATGAGCTCTGTGAAAACACAATATTTTGGAGGCCCTGCCTAATCAATGAATTAATTGTAGTCAGCCCTGGGGAGCTTGGTCCTCACTGAAGTTGGCCGGGTGTCCTGGTGAAGCAAATTCTCTGGAATGTGGGTGCTAGTGATCTGCTATCTTGTATGGGCAAGTGAGTGAAGTAAATACTTGTTAATAAACAGAACCTGAGAGTCACCACAGAACCAATTCTGCTTTATCAAGTAGAGTACAGTCTGTCAAAAAGCCAAAAAAGTGATTTCTCAATGAAAAACATTACAGTTAGGAAGGCCTGATGCCACTGCTTAGTCAGACTAAGACCAAAGACTTTTCTCTGCAGTATTCCCAGCTAACAAATAACACTACTTATTTCTTTGTTTTATAGAGTTGTCAGCCTGGAATGATCTTTCAATTTTGCCTATTTTACCTCATCTTGACACATGGGATGTATGATATTTTTGCCGATGTTGTTGGTAGCAGTGAAGGGAAGAGCAAAAGATAGGTTAATCTACCTGAACAGGGAAAAGAGACAATGAAATTAATGCATATAAAAAGAGCATAGGAAGCACAAAACCGAGAAGGTATACAGAAACTTCCAAGGACATGTTGTCTTTACTTAGAGAACCAGGATAGCCGGGAAGGTAAGCATTCTGTTCTAAAAATGTTGTGGCAAAACTGAAGCCCAGGTGGTCTGGCCTGTAACTCAGTCCAGTTTAAAGTGTTATAAAATACAGGCTCCATTTCATGCCACAGAGGGGCTTCTTTGTGCTTGCTGAGTCTGTTGAGTTAATCCTGTCCTGAAGCAGAGGTGCCAGGGACCCTTGCAGTGCTACAGGGATGTTGCACAAGTAGCTAACAGTCTTCTGAGGGAAAGTGTAAGGGGAGAGTGTTCCTCTTGTCCCAACACTGGCCATTCAAGGAGTGCATTTCTTGGGAACATACATTTCCTAGGATTGTTCTGCACACACAGCTCCACCAGGCCACAGATTTCTTTCCCTGGAGTAGTGTAACTCATGGCATTTGGAGCAATATGATCTCTAGTGCTTGAAAATTAAAGAAACAAATGATCTTCTGTGACTTTTATTGAATGGGCTGTTCTGAAGTTTAATTGATATCTAGTTTAAAAAATTAGTTTATTGTATTATTTCCTTGATGAAGGCCCTTCTGACAAACTCTTAGTTCCCTTTTGGCTCATATGAAACTTTTGCAGTGTTGTTAAATTCTGTCAGGAAGTAAGAATCATGTTTCCTACACACTGAATAGGTGACAGTCTGCCCATGTACTGCATCTTGGCACCTTTTGGAAAAAAAAGACGTATTCAACAACAAAAAAAATCAACATTTTCAGGACTCTAATTCCAAGCATGGTAAAGAACACTAAAGCAATATGTGAAGCAGAAGTGAACCTGTGACTACACAGATTGGCTTGAGTCTCATACCTCATCACGGTTGGGCTGCTTATCTGTTCTCCAACTGAAGCTCTGACCAAAGTGCT